ATTATACTTAAACATAATATATAAGGTACCAAATAGAAACTCTCCTGGTTATTTTGGTGGTGGAACCACACTGATCGGTAAAAGGATCACAGAGAAATTGGTGAACATACATAGAAAAAAAAAAACATCGCCACAGACAAATTGAGAACCTCCTCCTTTTGTTGGTAGTGGGGAAGTCGGTTAAAAACTGACCATGAGTCTGTGTCACATGTTAAAGTTGTGAGGAAAATTAACCAAGAAACTGGTAGATTCGCCTCTTTAACCACCACGTGTCATATTGTTCATCAACTACTGATGCATCACCACCATCCATGGAATGGTGAGGGCGGTGAGGGTCTCTAACTCGTTCTTCTCCATCGTCGTCTTGACTTGACACTGACAGCTAAGTGAGTAATGGGTAGCAGAAAAATATTTCCGTTCTGGCGGTGATCCTGTGATTTAGGGTGCAGATAATATATGAGACCAAGAATGTAAAACCGCTCGGATCCCAATTTTTAAGGACCTTGGTCGCCCGTAATGACGTCATCAATATGGCGCTCGTAAGAGGATGCTGGGTCGCTATGAATCAATAAATGCCTGAACCGATTTTAATGAAATTTGGCATACAAGTGCTTGAATACGATATCTAATCCCAGTTTGTCAATGGTCGAGTTTGATTAGGCTATTTCAAAATGGCGGCCGTTAATCACTAAAATGATTAAAAATTGTTAAAATGTTAAGTGTTTTGTTTTATCAACTCTCTCCAGAAATCTGCAGCAATCTTTCATTTTCCTTGCAATGACAGGTTGTGATGCCGTTTCTGCATTTCATGGAATAGGCAAAATAACCCCACCGCAGCAAACCTGCAGATTAAGTGAGTTTCCATTTGCCTGACTTGATTTTCAATTAAACCTATGTTAATAACCTTAAGTTTAATTAGTGTTAACTAGGTTTGCTGCTACGGGGAGGGTAATAAAGTGTTTTTTTTTAATTAAAATATGAATAGGTTGAAAAAATAAATTGTCCAAGTTTTATCAAAATATAACAATAAACTAGCAAAATATCCAATCATGGTATTCAAAATGGCTTAGAGAGAAATTCGAAAATTATACGTTTAGAGGGGCAAACATGAGAAAACCCAATTTTTACCCCATAAATCCCCCAGAAAACCCTGTTCTCATGGTTCGATCATGCTGGTTCGCAAACTCGTTCGAGTAAACGTAGGTTTACACGTTTTTACCCAATTTCGTCAACATTGGGTTTTTTTGCTTGAGTTATCGTGCTAACGTTCTTTAAAAAGTATACGTCTACAGTCATTAACGCTGTTAAAGTTTGATGTTATGTCATATAGAAAAGTACAAAAAATCTTTAGATTGATTCTAACGAGTTTGCAATCCAGCATGATCAGACCATGGGAATCGGGTTTTTGGGGGGATTTAGGGGGTCAAAATTGGGGTTTGTCAAGATTAACCCTCTACACATAAGATTTTCCAATTTCTCTCTAAACAATTTTGGATACTATAATGATTTTGAATACCTTACAAACCAATAATTTTGTTTATTGAAGTGTTTTTGTACGAATATTGGTTACCTACCCAGAAAATTCAAAAATTTCTAAATTTATCATTCTCATTTTATTCTTATGGAGAATAAGTAAACTGTTGTAGTTTGCTCGTTTGAGGATATATTTTGATAAAATTTGGCAAATTTATTTATTTTGACCTTGGCTATTAATATTTTAATAAAAAAACACACTTTATTATCCTCTCCGTAGCAGCAAACCTAGGCACTAATTAAACTCAATTAAAATATATTTAATTGAAAATCAAACCAGGCAAATGGAAACTCACTTAATCTGCAGGTTTGCTGCAGTGGGGGTATTTTGCCTATTCCAGGAAATACAGAGACAGCATCACGACCTGATTGCAAGGAAAAAGAAAGATTGCTGCAGATTTCTGGAGAGATTTGATAAAACAAAACACTAAAAATTTTTAATATTTTTAGTGATTAACGGCCGCCATTTTGAAATGACCTAATCAAACTCGACCATTGACAAACTGGGATTATATATTGTATTCAAGCACTTGTAAGCCAAATTTCATTAAAATCAGTTTAGGCGTTTTGGTATTACGGTATAAACAATTCATAGCGACCCAGCACCCTCTTTCGAGCGCCATATTGATCATTACGGGCGACCAAGGTCCTTAAAAATTGGGGTCCGAGCGGTTTTACATTCTTGGTTTCATATATTATCTTCACCCGAAATCGCAGGATCACCGCCAAAACGGAAATATTTTTCTGCTACCCATTACTCACTTAGCTGTCAGTGTCAAGTCAAGACGACAATGGAGAAGAACGAGTTAGAGACCCTCACCATTCCATGGATGGTGAAGATGCATCAGTAGCTGATGAACAATATGACACGTGGTGATTAAAGAGGCGAAACTACAGTTTCTTGGTTATTTTCCTCGCAACTTTAACATGTGACACAGACTCATGGTCAGTTTTGTAATGATTGATAATAACTGGATTATTTTACCTTAATTAATTTGTCATATTTAGTTTTTCTTAAAAAAAAAATAGCAATATAACTGTTGGTTGTATTGCTTTTATTGTGTTTTTTTTCGATTCTGCATCCTAAGAAACATAGAAAACGACACCTCACTTGCTTGGATCCCATAAATAAAAATTTTCTCAAAATCACTACCCCCATAAACAATCCCCCATAAAATGGTACTTCCACCCCCACAATCACTAGGGACTCTTCAGATTTCAAAACCTAATGGTAATTACTACGTTTCCTGCAAGTTTCATGAATGGACTAATTTTTATGTTTTTTACTGGTTTTAGTATAATTTTACCTGTACTATATATAAATGTGTACTTTTCTCTCACCATTAGTTAGATTTACATTATGGAAATAAAAAATAAATATATATAAATATTGGTACATTATAAAGCTGCTTGTCCATTAGCTTTACTTTACATGTCGTAAATTGATCTATACAATTATTATAAATCATATTTTATGATATGTATGTTGATATGTTTTATAATATGTATTTAGGGTAATTGGAAGAAATCATAGGAGAGAATTTATGAGATTTATTTAGATAAACTTATCATAGGTTATTTTGATGAATTATTTTTTGTACGATTCTTAATACTACTATGTAATGCATACATGCACAACAAAATATGTTAAATATTTTATTGACAACTCAACAAAAATGTTCCCACAAAACTCTATTGAAGCTGTTGATTGATAGGTTGCCATTTGCAAACAGTCCAATTAGCATAGCTTTCTTACCACTTCGATGCAAACTTATTTTTAGTCCTTTAATCTAACACCTTAAATTATAGAAATAATTACACACATCCAAGAACCGCTGTTAATGCAAATAAATTGTAGTTAGTATTTTCGTTTTTATATAAGTTATAGGTAGTTGGTCTTATAGTATTTTTAGTTTGTGGATGTTAACACAAATTATGTTAGTTCCGAATTTTTAACAGTTTATGGATAAATTTGAGTGAAAGTTTTTTTATTAATTAAGATAAACTGTTTTACGTACCTCCGGCAAATAGTTCAACATTTATTACAGCTTTCTCAGAAGCTTGATGTGCATTTTTTGCACATTTCGGCGTGAATATAATATATTCAAAGCTTGCAGTTCGTTAACACACAATTGAAACATACATATCACGAACAAAAAATGGCACGTATAACTTTAAATATTTAATGATAATCTGCATCTAAGACCGGTGTGGTGCGGGGTGGATAGCAGACACATATTTTTTATTTATTCTTAAACTTAGATAAAAAAGATATGTCTCTACGTATTAGATAAATGATTTATTACGTGACATAAAAAAATCTACTTTGTGTGTAATTGTTTACCAAATTTTACTTTTCTATCATCTCTCTAATTCATTGCAGTCAGCAAATGTTTGCAATTGAACAACCAGAGTTTGCTGTCAAATTAAGTTTAATTTCTACTCCTACATTAAAGACCAACAACCCAAAGTCGCGTCATTGGCAATATGGAACGTGCTGAGAGAACAGTAAACATTGCCTCAGTCCTGACCTCATTGTTCTGTTTTATTTTATCGAGGCTATAAACTTTCTAGAAAACAATCCTGACGTATAAAACTAGTTTGAAATTAAAAAAAGTACCTACTTTTTGTGCTCAGAATGCTTTAAAATATTTTTTCACATTTTTTATCCTTGTAGCCTACATTTACGAATGGTATGCATTTATGCTCCTAATAAAAAAGATAATTTCCAGCTTTTCATGCAATTCAAAACCGAATAAGCGAATAGCAATTCGATAGTTAATGATAGTACCTCATGTGAACTGAATGTAGACGAATTTTAGCAAGTACAGTATCTTGAAACGAGGCATTTTTTTGTAACATTATGTGTGTATGTGATATTTATATGTAAACACGGTGTTTATTAAATACTAATAATAACTTGTCGATGTCTTTCATTAAAATAAAACAAGTTTTAAAACAAGTTTGTAAGAAGGTATTGTTTGAGTTATAATTTGTGTAAAAACATTTTATTCATTAGAACCCATTCGTATTAAAACCATGCAATGTTTTACTTTGACTCTGTAGTTAAAACGAATTAAATCGTATGTGATTTAAATCCTTTTATTAAACATTAAATATGACATTGGTGACAGATTAAATTACGGTATTTATTCAAAACACTAACATCCTTTGAGATAGATTATCATCTATTTTTGGAACAGTATGAAAGGAAATAAGCATGTTTCATACAGAACTCGTTATAATTAAAGGTTTGGTTACACGTTTGATTAACATTTAATAGAAAACCCTATTTTTGTAGGTCCCCTATTTGTTGTTTGTGACTCACTCTACGAACAATCATTCGAGTCACTCATAGTGTTGGATTTTTAAGATAATTATTTACAGTTAATTTATAATGGTTCAATCTCGATAATAAATTATAAGAATATAGTAGACAGAAATTAACTTTTATATATTATTTACAGATACCTGGCTACAAATCCGCTACTTATCGCTGTAAACACGAAGATCAATAATACAGGTAAGCATAGAACTATGCAAATTTATAAAAACTAGTATATACAAACATATTATTACACAGACCTTTTTTACAAAAATATGAGTTTGTAATTGAAATGATTTTACAATATTCAAGAAACTACAAAATGTAAAATATAAACTTATAATTGAAACAATGATAAAGGTATCATTAAAAAAAAAAATTTTACCTGAATTTAAGAAATAAAAGTTCGTTATAGAACATTTTTAATGTTATATAACGAACTTTTATTTGTATAGACAATATAGAAAATGTTGTAATAAGAATTGTATTAAAACAGAATATTTTAGGTCTGATAAAACGAAAGTTCTTCTGTCTAAATAAAGACAAATGCTTTTAGACTTCATCCATTCACGTTTTCTGTAATGATATTAAATTATCTCACTCAGTCTTACTTTCAAATATAACGAATATCAAAAATGCAAAAATATTGGGTTATAACTTTGACATTTCACCGTTAACACCTAAGCTATCACTATAGGTTTTACAGTCTGAGTGCCTACAAATTTATCAATATTGTAATAGTTTTGCTGTCTTATAGAACAAACTTACTTAATTGTTACAATAACGATATCATGAACATTGATTCCCATGTTTTTTGTGACTTACAAACATTTTTGACATTTTCCCATTCATCATTCGTATATTATTTTTATATTATGCTATTTACTCTTGATTATATTGTGCACGAATAATAATGAAGTTTCCTTTACTACTTGAAGTCAGTTAAATAATTAACTTTATTTTATGCCACTAAAAGACATTTTGTGCTCAGTTAGTAATAAACAAAAATTTGAACATTGAAATTAATTACTGATGAAAGCTGTAAACTTGTTCGTAGAACTGAATGCAATTGAGGAATACTTTTCAAATTATGCTTGGGAAATTAAATATGTATTCATAAAATATATATCTTACACGTAAATATAAATGAAATATTTTTATAAAGACAATATTTTACTATATTTTTTATTATATAACTATAAATAATTTTAGACAAGGAACAATTTCATACATAATAATGGAAGAGATTTGTTATAATATTTACACATTTCATTTAGAAAATTATCATAATGTTTGCCTTTTAAACCTTTTATTCAACATTTTCTTTTTTAATTTTGAGTGTAACACAAAGCTGTCTTTGAAATTGCTGGAAATAAGCTAGATGTATCATTGAATGTTATTGAATTTTGCAAGGAATTTTTTTAGACTCATAAAAGCACCAAAAGGATGGACAAAAGCACACGTGGATGTCAATACTGTTCCAAATGTGACTTTTCCCTGAATGATTAAGTCACACCACGTAACCCTGCATTCCTTTGACATCTCATCATTCGGTACAAGATGACCTATGTGTGCTGTGTAGCTACTTACAGTACTTTAAAGATAATTTTCACTTGTCAACTAACCTAAATCATCCTACAGACCTCTGCAAAAACCTTTTGACAGAAATGTTTGCTTCAGTACAAGTTAAAAGTCTCCCTACCATGTTACAAACAAATATAGGAAATTTTAGATAAAATACAAAATGAATTACACTTATTTGTTTGCAGAATCCACAAATACGATAAAGCATACTTTATTTCACATTATTGTTTTCATCAAAATAGATGTGTGAGAGTGTTTATGGGAACTAAAGTCAGTAAAAAACAAAGTGCAAACAACATTGGATTAACTTCATTTAAAATTTTCTAAGGTTCAAATAAAACCCAGAATTGAGTTACTTCGTTCACAATAAATAATACGTAAAGTTTTCGATTATACTGTGTTATACGGTATGTATATTGAAAACAAAATAAATTTTTAACAAATATTTTAGGAAAATTTAGTTTTACACGCAAGAAGTTAAAAAACCTAGCACAATTAACTACATATATATGGGAATCGATCGCAAAATTGCATATGCAAAAATAAAGTATCATTCCGGTTGGATATGGACAGGTGGTTTGGAAATAATCATTATGGGACAATAGGATTTTAATAATTTATTTTGTATTGAGTGAAGGTTTTTTTCGTAGGGAAAATTTTTGAGGGTTTAGCCAAAAGTATATTTTACCTTATGTATTATGATAAGAAGGCTTTGACTTGTGTTTTCTACATTAAGAGTGATGTAGTTACCCAACCTAAAAACAATCAACTTTATAATCGCGAAAGGAAAATACATGTTTTTATTTCTACTTAAAGTAGTAAATAGTATGTAGATGAGGATGAATGATGTAAAATATATAGTAGAAAGGGTTAGACATTTTTTTAAACCCTTATTGTTTGTAATGAAATTGTTTGCAATCCTGAAACACTCAGAACACTTTTAGAAAATTATATGGTTTGCAGTGAGTTTATTTTAAATTGCGAATTGATTGTGGTTGTTAAATCCATCTTTTGTATTTGTTTAAAAACAAAAACACAAAATGTGATAACTGACAATGTAACACAGACTGCAAAGTATTTACTAATTTAGTATGTAGTAAGAAATTTGACATTTAAAGAACGAAGAATGAAAAATATGGTGTTTCATAAACATGAAGATACAAATATAGAAACAGCCTGTTAGCTGGTCAACGAACCTGACCTTTTATATTTTATGGCACAGGCTCTGACTGTTAGCAATGCGTGTTAACCTGGGTGTTAAAAACTGATGTTAACCTATAAGTTTGCGACTAGTTTTTTTTCGATATTTGTGAGGATGTAATTATAAAAGAATTACTTTACATCAAATGTTTTGTAAGCATTTCAGAGTTTGAAGATTTCTGATTGTCTAAATCATATATCCTCATTTGTATTGTAACGAAACTTTTGTTTTAATTTAATTTCTTCCTGAGATTCTTGATTATAGCTTCATTACAATTAATTTTGAAAAATAGGTTTTATGATTGGAAATAATATACTTCAAATTCTTCACCATCATTCTTTAATTTAAATTGCTTTTGGTTACCAACAATTATGTGCCCTAAAAGCAAACAAATTTAATAGCTTTAAAATATAGTCAAAGTTTAAACATTGTTCTTTTAACAGACCTACTAGATGAACTAAATGTTTTAATAAAATTGATTTACATATCAGTTTTCCTGGGCTAAATCTTACTAAAATATATTAACAACTTTAACTTTTCTTAACATCACTGTACAACACATTCTTACTTAAAGAGAGATCTAACATGCAAACCCAGTCTTTTATAGTGGTCTGACTGCTTATCCTGATTGGTGGAATTGGACCAATCAGATTAGCTCTTAGTTCATCTTTACACGATTCATGAAACAGCTCTAACATGTCTTAGTTTACTTCCTGCATATTTCTTTTCTTGTTTCAAACATGTTAGGAACATCTTTCGACATAATTATTAATCAAAAAAGCACAATTTGTTTGTTTTCATACTGAAAATTAAGAATTTTTTTTTACAAGTTAAAATTGGTACAGTATCAGATGCTTTTAAACGGTAACTATTCCAAAACGGGTAGCCTAAATTAAACTTCATGACATGGAAGAAATGCCGTTATATGTGTAACGCAAACTGACATTTTTTAAGTCCTTAAAAACGGCCAGTTATATGTTCAATAAATATAGCCTTTAAATACTACCTATGTAATGAACCATTTGAATCACATTTTCTTTTCAACGAATATCATGTATATTCATAATGGACACCACTAAAGATTTATAGAATGATTTTTGGATTGAATCAAATAGAGTTTAAGTTTAATTATATCTAAATATTTAACAATTTCATAGTTAAAAGATGTCCAATTATATTAATCCCCACCTTGAAAATACAATGAGCCCTGTTAAAAACTACTTAAACAAAATATTTTAATCTTATCTGATTCACCAGTTCAATCATTAACATCAATGTGGCCAGACTTATCAAGTTTATCTATCAGGTTTATTTTGTTTCGTTGCTTTTTTTTAAGCTTAGACGAAATGAAGTTATTTTAGTATTAATTTTCTAAAATCATAGTAAAAAAAAGGAAAAAGGAAAATGTAATAAAACTGAATATTACTCGTAAACACGTTTTGAACTGAAACGTGACAGGTGGTAAAAGTGAGAGTTTAGTCCAAATTCCTGTCTAACTTCTGACAAATCCTTTCTTAAACTTGACACACCTTTTATTTCTGCTCCCTCAAATATTTAAGTCGTTAATGCTTGTAAATATTCAAAGCTCGATTCGTTTAAAAGTTGACACTTAAATATAAAATCACCACCGCTAAATATTTACTAAGAGGTACATATTAATATTTTGGTGTTTATATGGTTCTAACTATTACTGATTATAATTTCCTTGAATTTTCGAACATACAGTACATTTCAGTTCTAATTTAGTAAAAAAACTTTTGATATCCATCTTGAATTGTATTTTTCTTCTCAATAGTTTGGTATGAAACGTCCAGATGGTAAAATAAATTTAAATCCATTCAAGTAAAAATTTAAAACATATTAACAGTATATACTGTAAACTGTTGTTCAAATTTTAACAATAAGTAAGTTCGTCGAACAATTAATTCTTCTACGCCCTATAATTGCCCTATAAGTCAAACATTAAAGTACACGCTCCAAGTTACTAAAATAGTTACTTTTACTATACTTAGAAACTTTCATAAATTTCTATCTTGTTATGCAAACTGTAGTTCCTTATATTTGCCACTAATGGCTCTGCCACAAGCAGTAGTTGATGTTTCGTTTCTTAACACTTGTTTAACACCCAAAGGCAATCTGACACTTGTAACGGGTCAAATGTGTAGGGGGTAAAATAACGGCTAAACCACGAAACTTAAACAGCTGAATGTAAGCTGTTGTTGTGCCCTAGTCGCGACGCTAAACTGACATCGCACCTAACCTCCAATTCCAAGACAGCAGACGACGTTGGTGTCAGTTTGGTTGTTTGGTTGTTCGACTGCGTCTGAGGGCGGGCTACGGGAGAGAATAAGAGCAGCTGATCCACCTTGTGAGCGAGGCAGCTATAAAGCCTGTTAAAGCTGCCATGCGCCTG